GAGGCCCCCGGCCCAGCCAGTCCCCGACAGTCCCTGCTCCCTGGTGTCTGCAGCCTGGATTGGCCTCTCCTGTCCCGCCTCTGCCTTTGGGTGCGTCCCTCAGCAGCAGCAGCGTCTCCTGAGCCTCCCTGACTCCAGAGTTTGCAGAAGAAACACACGTCTTCCCGAGGTGGGAAGGGAGAGGACAGACAGGGCCTGTCGGCTTTGGGAGGGTGACCCGCCCTGCGGTCCCCTCGCACCCAGCCTCTTAGCTTCCTTCCAGGGATTGGAATCCCGCGGCCGTGTCCTCCCCACCCCTTGGTCTGTGTCCCCGGGGGATGGGGTGAGGTGCCCGGTGCGGCCGCGTCCCTGCAGCTGTTCACACCCAGCCCTGTGGCTGCAGCCTCTAATCCTGTCCTGGGCTGCGGGCGGGTGAGGGGGAAACCTGAGAAAGCTGCCCCTCCAGACTCAGCACACCCTGGGAAGGGGACAGCAGGTGGCAGGTGGGAGCCCAGCCTGGCGTCCCGTGTCTCTTCCTGCCTTGTTCCAGTAAGGTCTCCCCTCTTCCCCCCTTCCTGCCTGCCTCCTTCCTGGGGAATGGACATGTTCTCGTTCAGAAAATCTCAGAAGGGCCACTTGCTTCCTTCCTTCAGGGTATTGGTCCCAAATTCATGGGTTTTTGGTAAAAATGGATCCGTCAGAAATCTGTGGAGCCGCATGTTTATGGGAAACACCCCCATTCCGTTGTAACAGATTCTGACTGTTAGGAAGACATCCCAGCGGAGGCAGCAGGGCGGGCAGCCAGGACGGCAGGGGCTCAAAGCCACGGTCCCTGGACTCCGGGGCCACCTCACGCCACTTTGCCGCCTGGCCGTCAGCCTGGGGGCCTGCGGGCCAGCACCCAGGCGGGGCCGGTCTGCACCGCCCGTGTGTAGGCAAGGTTTAACCGGAGCCCAGCCGGGCCCTGCGCCGGCTGTGGCTGCGTCTGCCTTTCAAAGGCAGAACAGACTTGTTCCAGAAGAGGCCAAATGGCCCTCGAAACCTAAAATAGTTACTGGTTGGCCCCGTGGTGCCGGTAGGGGCCATGTCTGGAGAGCATCTTCGCTTATCACGACAGGTTGGGGGTGCTACTGGCACCTGGTGGGCTGCAGCTGGGGTCCTGTCCTTGAATGGGGCCAAACACACGGACTGTGCAGTTGTGGGGGGTGGGAGACTGGGGTGATGGAGCAGATGGTAGATTGGCTGCTAAGTGGGTTTTTTTTAGCAAGGAACAAACACATGCGAATATTGGGGGTTTAAAGGGCCTAGGGGAGGGCTGAGTCCTCAGGGAGAGTTTGGTTGGGTCCAGGAGAGGCCAGGTAGGGGAACGTCTCAGGCCACCATCTGCACTGAGGCCAGGAAATGGGGCCTGGGTTTGCAATGGGGGGACCACTATGGATTCTTGGGGGGTGGGGGTGAGTGGGTCCCAGCTGCGTGGTGACTCTCTGTCCCATCTGCGAACGAGAACATCCTGGGGGCTTATTGAAAGGCGAGGTGCTGCTGAGAAGGTTACCAGGTGGTTCCAGCAGAACCCAGGTGGAGGAGCCGTTCCGTGGGAGCCCTTTGGGGCGTGGGCGTGCCAGCACGGCTGGGAAGTGGAGATAGACCCGACCTTGACCCGGAAACCAGACGGAACTGGAGAGACAGCAGCGCGCCAGCCAGGGGCTCAGAGTTAGAGGATAAATAGCAACAGCACCGGGGCTGCCCCTCGGGACACTTGGCCTCTGCTGGAGACATCTCAGGTTGTTTGGGAACACAGATGCCGCTGGCTTCTAACTGGCAGAGGCAGGGAGGCTGCCTCACACTCTGCCGTGGACAGGGCGGCCACGAGTCCATCCAGGGTGTCGGTGGTGCCGGGACCAGGTCCCGGCGGTGGGGCTGGAGTCAGGAGGCTAAGAAGGCGGGGCTGTGTGTCTTCACCTTGGTGACCGGGCCCTAGCTTGTCCCCCCAGCTGCAGAGATGGGTGCTCGGCCCGCTGGGAAGAACTGGCCTTTTCTTTTCTGCTTCGTTCCCAGAATTACTGGATCTTGATGAATCTATAAACATGATGTTCCATTTCTGTGAGACAACACATTAAAACCCTACATGCCGGTAACAGGCAGTCTGGCCTCCACTGTGTGGCCTCCGGCCTGGGCTGCCCCTCATGGCCACCCAGAGGCCAGGCCTCCCTCCTCCCCGGGAGAAGGTCCTGCGTGTCCGCGCTGCCGCCAGGTGGGAACTTCGTGTCTGGGGCTCTGAGTCTGCAGAGCCTGAGTGCCTCCCGAGCTCGTCTCGCCTCCGGCTGCTGGGATCTGTCCGGGGTTTCGCCTCTGCATTTTTCTGTTTGAATTACCACGTATTTCTCTACTGGGTGCCGATGCTGCTGCACACTGGCTGCCTACCCCCCCAGAAGGAACTGGACACGGGTGCCCCCTGAGCTGCAGCCGCCATGTGCCCTGTCCCTCCCTCCCGTTTTCTGACAGATCAGGCACGTCCTCAGTTCGCCGCTGTGTTCAGACAGCGCCAGCAGCTTAGTGAAAGTGGCAGTTTCACAGCCCCAATTATGTGGTTACCACCAAGGAACCGCCTCCGCAGGGCAAGCCGGCGAGAGGTCCACGGTGATGATGCTCTGGATATACGGTGCGTGGGGGCGGGGGCGGCTACCCATTGCCTGCCGACACCTGACTCCCTGCAGGAACGTGGCAAGCAGCGCTGGGCGGTTCCCTGCTTGTTGGGGATCTGAGGAAGGAATGTTCTGGAAGCATGGAGGCAAGACCGCATTTTACATTAGAGGCCGAGACTGTCTGTGTGGGGAGCCTCACTTTCATTTGCTTCTTGGAGTCCTGCTTGTATTAGATTCGGCCGACAAGAGAGAGCTGGGGACAGGCGTGATGGGAAGCAGCGGGGGGCGGGGGGGTTGATAAGACGATTCTGCATCCACACCTTTCCGTTCTGGTCTCTGGGGCAAGTCTCTCAGACTGGGTGGTTTAAAACAACAGACACTCATTCTCACGGTCTGTAGGCCAGAAGTCCAAGGTCAAGGTGTGGACATACCGTGAGGTGAAATTAATGTGCCTTCCGCAACTGCCTGACGGGAGGGCAGAGGTGAGGCCTTTTGGCAGAAAGCGTGGGCTCCCAAAGCCTAACTCCCTCTCTGTCCCTTCTCAGAAAGGGCTGCCCTGCGCCCCTGCGCCCCTCCGCCCTGGGGAACCCCCTTGTAAATAGACAGAGAGCCGCTGTTTTTCTGGGAGAAAAAAGTTTGAAGAAGCCAGTTCTTACTCACGCCATGTCACTGAAGTTCTAGTGAGGCTATTTTTTAAAGGGAGCATGAGGTGGAAAGACATGTAAGTAAATTACCCTGAAGTTCATTTGGAAGAAAAAAGTAGGTGAGAATAACTGGAAGGAGACTTAGAAAGAGGGTGGTTCATGGAAACTGGTCCTTCCACTGAGCCAGGTGTGGAAAGAGCGCCGAGGTTAGATGAGGGCTGTTACCGGACTAAAAATGGTCAACAGGTGACACAGAAGAGACCAGAGTCCCACACGGTGGCCTCAGTGGCGTTCTGGCGGCATCACCTCAGTCAGGAGGGGACAGACTGTTCCAGAACGAGGCAGGCCACATCGCTCTGCTCTACGCTGGTTCTAGTCTGAGTCGTTCCTCCCTGCGCAGCCACGCGAGCCCTCTGTGCCAAGGGGGCCGCCCCGTCGTGCGCTTCCAGATGAAGTCACAACGGAAGGGTTGATGTCGGCCCAGCGGGTGGATTCGGGCTGTTAGGGGCAGTGGGGTCAGAGATAGCTGTTGGCAGCCGAGGAGGTTGGATGTAAGACTGTGGCTGAGCAAAGGGCCCAAAGCACAGCCCGAAAGCAGGGAACGAGAGCGGTGGGCATGCGGGGCTGGCCCGGGTCAGAGGAACGTGAATTTGGACTTCGGTGTTCCGATTCCCACAGGCCAGGGCGGCAGAGCTTTGGGCGAACCTCTGAGGGAGGGCGGGGAGCGGACGCCCACCGCCAGGGAGGGCAGAGCTTGCTACCACTTCCCAGGAGGCCGTCTGGGCCCGCCTCCTGCCCCCGCGAGAAGGTCACCCTGGGACAGGGACCCCAACCCCTGCGGGCGATTGGCGCTAAGACGGCCACTGCCCCGCCTGGCACAGACAGCAGCGTGCGGCTGGGAGCTGCTGCCCGCTCTGGGTTCCTCAGTCAGTATCGGTGAAGTGTGTAGGTTCTCGATCGGTTTATTGCTCTAGAGACCCAGGTGAGCAATTCGTGGACGTGGTGGAGAGTAAAGAGAGGGCTTCCTTCGCTCTGAGAATCCGTTGGTTGCTCACTCCGCTCGGTGCCGCCAGGTGCTCAGAAAGGGGGCGGGTGCAGCTGGCCCGGTGGAGAAGCAGCGAGGAGGGACGCTCCCGGGCGGTGTCCAAGGCCCGTGGACAGCGTGGGTCAGTACGTCCGGAGTCCGCTGGGGCTCCCTGGCTGTTTTCAGCTGTGTCCCGTTCATTGGCTCGGGTCAGCTGGGAGCCTTGCAAGGACTGTTGCTCAGCCTTGCGTCCCTTTTTGTTTCAGCAACTCCTGCCAAGCTTTCCTGTTACTAAATTCCCATCTCAGACTTGAACCTCAAACACGGCCTGTGTGTATCGCCATCTAGAATTGTCAGTCGGCTTGGGGGGGCCCTTGACCCTAGAAGCTGCCCGGCTGCTCAGGCTTGTGTTTTAATCTGAGTCTCATGAGCGAACCTCAGGGAAAACCCCTTTTCGTAAAAGCCGAACAAGCCCCAGTTTCTTCATCTGTACAGTGGGTGGCACCGGCCAGACCGGTGTCTTGGAGTGGCATCTAAGCTGAACTTTGAAGCGAATTTTTAGTTGAAGTACGTGTTTGTCTATTTGGCCGATCAACTGGCTTCCTCTTTAAAGTGATAGAAAGCTGCCTTCTGACCACCCAGCTGCCTTGAATAAACTGGACTGCGCTTAAAAGGAAACAGTAAATCATATTTGATTTATTTTTTTCTTAGGGACCACAGGAAATCAGTGACTAATGTTTGGCAATCACAGATCCTTTGAGGGCTGATGTTTTGCAGTCTCGGGGACCGTGTCCGGCGGGTCAGCCCTCGGGGGCCATCCCTGCCCGGCCCCGGGTGAGTGAATGGCCTTCTCTTTTCGTCGCCATCAGAACTCCTCCAGACACAGTCACGCTTCTTCCTTCTCGTCACTGGCCAGGGGCCAGGAGTAGTCGTGGTCAGGGTGGGTCACGAGGCTCTGGCTCCCAGCCTGTCTGTGGCTGGCTCTCTCTCACGGGTGGGCTGCCCCTCCCATGTGACTGGGGGTGAGGGGGGAGCATCCCACAAGCTGCCGCCATGACTGGTGTCCCTGCCAAACCCATGGTCGCTGAGCAGGTGACATGCCATCCATTGTGTGGGTTAGCCTTTGACCGTCTCGACGGGTTCAGCAGCAGGGCGCTGGACAGGGGAGGGGCGCCTCCACCCCCGACACTCGTGGAGGGACAGGGACAAGCCAACCGAGGTGCACCAGCAGAAGTGGTGGCAACCCCGCCCCTTTCTCTGCTTTCTCTGTCCTTGGTGTAGGCTTCAAGTGTGTTGCTGTCCCAGTCCAGTGACAAGCGGCGGACCAGAAGAGACCGGGACCTGCATTCCCGTGTCTTTGGTTCTGAGTGCACTGTTTGAACCAAACATCGGCACGTTCACCAGGTGACACCAAATGCCGGCTTGGGCCAGGCCCTGAGTTGTTGCTGGGGAAAGATCAAGAGGGGGACGCCCAAGTGTCCTGATTCCAAGGAGACAAATGTAGTGAGGGGACCGAGGTGGCAGCTGCAGAGCCACAGCGGTGATGCTCAGGATTAAAGCAGTGACCGTCTAGGACAGCTGACCGGGGCCTCCCGGGAGAGCCGGGCAGGGGATGCGGTCCCGGGTGCAAAGGCACCACTTGGCGGGGTCCGTCTCGAATGGGTGGGTTTTAGTGCAGCAGAAATGGGGAAGCCTGCTGGGTTTTTAAGAAGGTAGGGTGGGGAGGAAGACAGAAGTTCGGGAGGTGGCTGGGGGTGCCCTGCAGCCGAGACTCGGGAGGAAGCGTGAGGCAGACCTGCAGCTGGGCGGTGCGCGAGGGGCTGGGAAGACAAGCCAGGAGGCCCGGTTGTCTTCTGCAGACCGGGGGGCGTCTCCTGAGGTTGTGGACTTCATCCAAGGTGACGTGGCGTGGGCCTGGCACGGGGAACACCCCACAACTGGATGTGCAGTCCCCTCAGGGAGAAGGCCTGGGAGCAGGAAGCGGGGCCCCAGCAACTCTCCCCATGCCCCCCGCCCCCACCCACAACCCCTGATTCTCCAGACCCAGGGATCTGACTTCAGCGCCGGCTGGTGAAAACCTCCCACGTCACCATGCCAACTGCCAGCCACCACGGTTAAACCAGCGAGTGAGGAGTGCCACGCATGTGGACACGCCTCGGCTCCAGGGCCCCTCCCGCTGACCTCGCAGCCTGCGGGTGGCTTTGAGCCACCAGCGTGGGTCGAGCAGATGAGGACTGGACGTTGTGCCTGGGGCCCACGGAACCTTCACCCCCTGAGCGTTCGGGTCTCCCTCTCAGACGCCGTTCTTTGAACACAGGTGCTCTCTCCTGCCTGCTGTCCACTGTCTGGACAGAGCCTTGTTCCTGGAAATTGATGCTCAGCGGCTGTTGGCTGAGCTGCTGGGGCGTCTGCCTGGGAGACGGCACCCTCCTCAGACTCGGGGACCGGGGCGCATGGCTCTGCACTCGGACCTCAGGGCTGTACCCAGACGGCCTGCTGGGGGGCCCCACACAGCCTCTGCTGCCCCCACCGACAGAACTCAGTTGTTGCATTGGAGTGAAGTGCACTCCAGACGCATTGGTGTCCAAGGCCAGTGCACCTGGAGCCCCCTCTGTGGGCCACGGGGGGGCACGTTCATCTTGTCCTCCAGGTAGGCTCAGGAAAGTTCTAGAGGAGAGAGGCTTCTGTGACTGGGAGGGAAAGACCCCCCCCCCAGGGGGCAGGGAGGGCTGAGTTTCTCTGCATGTGCTCTCCTAGGGAGCCTGCCCCTTCCCTGCCAAGGGAGGGGCAGCCTGGAAAGGGGACACCAGTCACGTACTGGCTTTTCCACTTGGGCTATTGCCCCAGCTGGTCAGGTCAAGGGCCAAGAGGCGGAGGGAGCTGTATCCCTGCAGGGTGAGGGGGAGGAGGAGGCGTTGGCATCCAGAGACCCCCAGCCCTCCTTCCTCCTGGTCTCAGTGGGACCCCTGAAGGCCAGGCAGGCCCCACAGCCGCTGGAGGACAGGTCAGCGGGGAGAGGCGTCGTCGGGTCCCCTGAGACACAGGTTTGGGGAGCGATCGAGGAGCAGACTTGGAGTTTCTGCCGACAGGCCCCGGTGACTCAAATCACCAAGAATGGGCCGGAGCTCGGAGTTTCTTTTCTAACCCCGGGGGACATGTGATGAATCAGCCCTCCTGCTCCAGAGACCGGAGTCACATGCGGAGACAGAGTCACCTAGCAAGGCAGGGACAGAATCTGCCAGCTGGCTGTGTGCCCAGTTCCATCTGCTTTGGCCCGGGGCGGGGCTGCCGCAGAAGCGTCTGGTTGCTCAGCACCCCCTGGGGTGCTGGGTGGGCCTTCTCCCCGCCGGAGATGCCAGTGATCTGTTGTGTTCTTATTGGGCCTGGGGCGACACGTTGGCAAACAGGCCCCCACAAGACTATTGGGGGGCAGAGTGGGACGCTAGATGGAATCGGAGGAGGGGCAGGTAGAGCTGAGGGACTGTGTGCGGTCCCCACACTTGCCACCGGAATCTGTACATAGCCCTCTGTGTGCCCAGCGATGGCGTCTGTTCCGAGGCCAGTCTCCAGCTTCTGGGGCGGGGCTGTGGGCGGGCTCTTTTCTCTCTCAACGAAGCCGCTTGTCTCCTGGAAGAGGAAAACTCATTACTGATGAGTCAGACACAGGTCAGCCTTGCTGCCCCTGACGTCTTCCATATCTGACGTCCACGCGGGGCGCAGAGGCAGCTTCCGAGAGTCCAGGGCTGCGGGGACAGGGACGGGGATGGAGTGGCTGGTACAACCTGCGCTTCTGGCCTGTCCTGAGGGCCCGTGCTGGCCACTGCTCTGACCAAGGGGGCCTGCGCCTCAGGCTGTCCTGGACAGGTGGCTGCCTCCCGGGGCCGGCAGGGAAGTTCATTTTCTCCTGGAAGGTGTCCAGACTCAGAGGCCGGGCCACGCAGGTGAACCCACCTGTGTTTCAGCATGTCTGTAACTCGGCTGCAGCATAGGGTGGGTGGAACTCCTGGATGCGGCCTGCTGCGTGTGGTCACGTCACATCAGCCTTCCGGGGAGGGGGGCACTTGACACTTGGGGGGAATCTACACACACAGCCCATCAACCTGCTGCCCTGGGCACATCCTTCTCCCGGCGGAAGCAAAAACGCGCTCCTGAGGTGGCCGTCATTGGGGCCCGGGGCCGGCGGAAGACATACTTGGACACCGTCCAGGGCACACAGGTGGCCAGCATCTGTCCGCTCTGGGCTGCATGGGGTGTGACCGAATCCACCCCATGGAAAACGCCTCCACGACATGCAAAGGTGCCGGCAAGGTCTAGGTCCAGGTGGCCAGCATCTGGACTCAGAAACATCTGGATGTTTGGGCCTGATTAGCTGGACGGTGATGACTCCGGGATAGTTACTGTCATCTCCGTTGCAGGAGTCCCCTAAGTTCCGTGTGAGTCCTTCCACCTGAAGTTCATCTGCCAACCCCGGTCCCCCCATCCTGGGCCATGAAGCGGTTCGCCCTGAAACTGTGCCTGTTGCCCATTCACTAACTGCAGACCTTCCTGTCACCTTGTCACACTTGACCAGGGTGGCTGGGGTATCACTTGAAGGCTGACCTGTGTGTTTCCGGAGCTGGGTCTCCAGATCCGCCTGCTTTTGGGAAGGTAGTCTCAGCAGGAGCGTTCTGGAAAATGCCTGTAGGCATCTGAGAGCCTGGCGGTGTACTTGACCTTGTGGGGGAGGGGCTGCCCAGATTGGTGTCTAGTGCCATAAGAACCCCCCTCCCTCTGTCTGGAACTTCGGGTTGACTTTTCCTTTCTGTGTGATTTGACCTTTTTGTGATGAAAGGTGAAAAATAACTGCATAATACCTATGAAGTTTGAGGAGATCTTGCTGGATCCTAAACGGCTCAACAAAACAGATTTTCTCTACAGTAAGATTGCCCAGAATCTTACAAAAGCCCAGAGCTAATTTCCTCAACAGCCAGCAGGGTCTCTGGAGCCAGGCAGTGGACATGGACCTGTCTCACAGCCAGCCCAGTGCCTGGCACCTCGGCCTCCGCAGGTGCACCGTGAGCCCAGGGCCTGGAGGGGTCAGCTCCTCGGGCATCTCCCTGGGAACCGCCCGGTGACCTTAGTTGCCTGCACCCTGCTCCCTGACGGAAGGGGCTCGCCCTTCCCCGCACACCAGCTCTCTCCTCCTCTGCCAACTCAGGTGTCGGGCGTGTCGCCTGCAAAGGGCACACGTCACTTCTCGGGGCGGCTCTGTGCCCTGAGCAGGGAAGATGTAGAAACCATGCCAGAGACATGCCCTCCGGCACACGCCATGCAGATCTCTCCACAACAGAGGGTGCGAAGAGCTTTCCAGTGTCGAGCCGCCCAGGATGCTCAGAGTCTCGTGTGTGACCCGAAAGGAAAGACAAGAAGGCTGAAAATCAAGCACGCAGTCAGTTTATTCCTCAACAGCCACAGGACTTTTCTCCTACACTTCTCCACACAGGTGGCGACCCTGACTCCGCCAGACCCAGAATTATTTCTAAGCAGAGCTACAGCTCATTGGGCCGTCACACGGTTCTTTCTTCCGTGTCCATGTGCACGGGCGCACGCACACGCTCTGGATGGATGGCTGCAGGAAATCAGGACGGACCGTATACCTGGGAGGGCTCGGTCGTAGTACAAATAAGTGAGCAGAGTTCGTTCATTCCTTTGCGTTTGAGAGCCTGCTCTGCAGGGCTCCGTCACAGCACAGGGTGCCGGGGCAGGCTGGGTGCTGCGGCCTGGCACAGCTCAGTCTCCCGGAGAACTCGGGAGAAACAGCCGATGCGTGATGGAGGCGGGGGAGGGGTGCCACTGCTGTGGGCGCCTATCCCCTGCTAATGTGGTGACATTAGTGCAGAGGCGTGGATGCCCGAGGGATCCGTCCGGGGACTCAGTGGTGGCCTCCAGGCTGTGGGACAGTACATGCAAGGGCCCTGGGGCATCAGGGAGAGGCCCGAGGGAAGGGCGCGGCGCTGGCCTGGCCCCGGGGATCCGGCTGTTGAGGGCGCTGTGAGCACACTGAGAAGTCAGAAGGCTTTGGAGGGTCTGGAGTAGGGTCCTGACTTGTCGGAACATCCTGTCCCTGCAGGGTGGCCTATGGTGGGGGGTGGGGGGAGGCAGTGGCGTGGAGGTGCCTGGGCTGGGGGGGGGCAGGCCCCACGGGGAGGGGGAATCTCAGGCATTTTGGCAGTGGAATGAGCCAATCAGCATTGACTTAAGGGGCAAAGGCAGGGTATAGGGGGAGGAGGTGGGGCAAACCCCAGAGTCCAGTTTGGATCCAGGAGGTTCAACTCCCATCGGTCGTGAAGGGGAGCCTTCGGCAGTCTGAGTTCTGGGTTCTGGGTTCAGGGGTCACTCGCCAACTGGGCAGGAACCCAGCCATGCCCACGTGTGCTGGGAGGGGTCAGAGCGCCCGGGCGTCTGGGTTTAAGGCTCTGTACAGGCTTTCCATTAAAGGGGAGACACACCCTCACACTCCCGACACGCATCTAGAAATGCAGGTGGCAAGCGTGTCCTTACAGCACTTAATCCTTTTAATGTTTTACTGCAGACAAGTCAACCGTGTGCAGAAATAGGGGAGTGATAAAAACAAGGTAATAAATGAAATAGGAAAACGTAAATAACGGGAAAACAATATATAGGTAGTATACTGCTGTAGTTATATACCTATCAGTACAGATAAACGTGTTTGTGGCAATAGTGTGGTAGTTTGTAAAATACGGTATCCAGTCACTTCCCCTACGTTACTTCCATAATAAAGCGAGGGCTGATTCGGAGGGTGAGGCGCATGAGCTCACCAGGCTTGACTTGGAGGCTCGGGGTGCTGGCTGCCTGCAGGTGTGAGGCCAGCAGGCGGGTCACTCGGGTGTGCAGGTCGTGCGGGGCCGTGCGGAGCAGAAGGAGGTGGAGGAAGGTTTTCCGGGGACACGGGGGAGGGGTGTGTGTTCTGGCAGCAGAAGCTGGAGTGGGACCCTCGGGAGAGGCGGAGCCTGAGCGTGACCCTGGACTCGCTGTGGGTGGAGCTCGGCCACAAACCTCAAAGGTTGCCTGTGGGCCGGTCTGGGAGCAGCACGGGGCCTGGGGGGGGCCTGAGGGCGGGGGAGAGCTTCGCACAAAGGCCTGCTGACCCCTGTGTGTTTGCAAAGACCCTGGGAGGACAGGGCAGGGGACTCCAGGTACCCTCCACACCTGGCTGTGGCGTTGGTGGAGGTACGGGGCTCCCCCACCCATGCTCACCTGACAGCACCTGCTCTAGGAGGTGCCAGGTGGAAGGGGCCTGCCAGGCTTGGGCCAGCGGGGCCAGGTGCCCTGCACTCATTGCGAAGGGGCAGGTGGGTGCTGGCACTTTGTTTAAGGCCCATTGCCCCATGGCCACCGGAGACAGATTCGCCATTCCAGACCTCCCACAGGGCGTTGAGCACAGGGGACAAAACAGCCCCCTCTGGGAAGATGGGGTGAATGGCTTCGTGGTCACTCAGCCCAGTGCAGGGGTGCCTTTCCCGGTCTCCGGATCGGACTCGCTGCCCTGGCCCCGCTCCGGTGGGTAAGTGGCAAGGCCGTGCAGTTAGTGGTGGCTTATCTGGCAGCCTCGGTGAGGGCGCCTTTTGTTTTCACAAGGGCGGCGGATCTGCCATAACCGCTGACCCTTCCTGCCTCCCCACTGGCTGTGGGCCATAACCATGTTCCCCATCGACAGTAAACAGAAACGGCGCTCAGCCTCCCAAAATTCCAGGGCCTGTGGTTCGTTCTGCCGGCACCCAGGGGAGGTGGAGGCCAAGGCTCTCACCGCTCTGACGCGTTTCCTGCTCTTCATCTTGCCGGTGCCCGGCCCCTCCAGGTGCTCCCTGGAGAGCCGGCTCAGTGTCCCATCTCAGTGTCCCGTCGGTGCCCGGGCCAGCTGCTGGCCAGCACCCTCCCAGCCCCAGATGGCCCTGCCCCACCCAGACTCCGCCCACGTCACCTGCTGAGGACCATGGGGCTCTTCCCAACACCTCTCCTCTCCTTGCCACCCACCCACGTTCCACACCCTCGGCTGCCTCGGTAACTTTCGAAGATGAGGCCATCGCTGCTTCGGTTTTTCTCCTCCGCAGGCAGCGAGCTCTTTCTCCGTCATCAGGAGCCTTCCCCGGGCCTCCAGGGCAGCAGCTAAACCCTGCACCGGGAACAGGGCTGTGGACACCCCCACTTCAGGGGCCACAGCCACGAGCCCGCCCCGTGTTCCAGCATACCTCGTGGGTTATGAGTTCTTCACACAAACCCAGTTGGGACAGGGCACTCATCACCCCTGTTACAGATGGGAAAACTGAGGCTTAGAGGAGCAAATTGTTCACACAAGGTTGTCCACCGCGTGGGTGCCCACCTGCGGCTGCCTGCTGCCCCCTGGGCCCTCAGCCCGCACTGGGGGAGGAGGTGGTGGACAGGCCTCCAGGTCCCCCGACTGGTGACGGTGACACAGGGGTCAGAGCTGCATTCGTTTTTAGGTGTCTTTGGGTGGAGGAACAGGGGTCCTCCGGCTGGGTTGCAAGAACCCAGCTCCACTGGGATGAAACCCACCTGCGCACAGTCGCCCTCTGCTGTGCGCGCTGCGGGCCAGCTGTGCTGGGCGGGGCCCACCGGGCCAGCCGTGGGGCATCCACCTGTGCCTGTCCGGGAACATCACCTTCATCTCCAGAACCCCAAACGCCCGTGCGTCCCCTCCCAGAGACAAGCTGAGGCCTCGGGAGGGAGTCTTGTGTCCCTTCCCACAGAAACATCCCCTGCTCGCTTAGCGACGGCACCATGGCACAGTAAAGGGGGGGGTTCACAAAAGCACCTCATGTGTGCAGATGGCCCCGTGTGCCTTTTATCTATGAGTGTTTGTGTGCTTGGGGTCTGGGGAGGATTTAACGAGAGTGCGGGCAGGGAGCGAGCACGGCCCCGGGGGGGCCAGGGCTGCGCAGACCCTGGGCTGTCCTCCTCTCCGACTGGAGGGAAGGGCGAGCTGGGTGTGAGGCCACACTACCGGGCTGTGTGGGGCGGGGCCTGCTCCCCACCCCGGGGCTGCCTTTGTTGGAACGGCCTCTGGAAGGAAGAGGGGCCCCTCCCACAAAGTTGGCACCTCGCCCACATTTCACGTGCTCAGAGACATTGCTCTTCCTCCTCTGCTTTCAGGGAGAAGCGCCGCGTACGGTTGGCACCCCGTCCATCCGGGCAGCATGGCCTCCTGAGACAGAGGCCCCGGCCACTGCTGGCGTAACCATCAGACAGCGATGGCGCCCTAGCGGGTCGCCCGGAGGAGAGCTTCGGGATGGCAGCTCAGCGGATCCGCGCCGCAAACGCCAGCGGCCTCCCTCGGTGCAAGTCCGAGGGCACGTTGATCGACCTGAGCGAAGGGTTTTCGGAAGCGAGCTTTAACGATGTCAAAGGTGAGCTCCTGGGGACAGGCCTGGGTCCGAGGGCTCAAAGGCTGCCCGGTCACGTTCTGGTCAGCACGTGGTCGCCCTCTGAACGTCACCGTGTTCTCTGTGCGGCCCAGGGGCAGTGCCCACGTGTCCTCTTTGGCATGTGGGGAGGTTGGTTTGAGTTCCCCCGTTAGTAGTAAGAATTCATACAGAATATCTCTGTTCTCTTTTCGTGCGTTTTAGCGACGGCAGGGCAGGAAAGTTGGTATCACGGAGCACTTGGGGGAGGGGCTGGGTTACTGCAGACTCTAGAGAAGGGAAGTGGGTGCAGGGGGAGCCGTCCCCTCCCACGATGGCATTCGGGAAACGTGTGAAGCCTTGCAGGACACATGACGTCGGTCACAGCTGTTCAACTCTGCCGTCGTAGCTGACAGCAGCCATAGAAGAGGGCAAACAAGTGGAAATGGCTGTGTTTGGATAAAACTTTATTGATAAAAACAGCCGGTGGATGTGGTCCAGGGGCCGTAGTTTGCTGACCCCTGGTTTAGAGGTGGCCCGGGGTCCAAGCGCCCTGCCCCTGTGGGTCTCTCTAACATCCACTGAGAAACCGGGCTGATGAGAACACCTGTCTTTTGGACACCAAGGGCGATACTAGGCAGGTGGCCTTCTCTCTGGAAGCCGGCCCAACCCCACTGGGCCACGGTCCGGGTGCCGTGCGCCTCCTTGCCTACAGGGACTGCCGCATTCTGTGGAGATCACTCGGCCTGCAGGGAGCTGTCTTTGCCCTTGTGTCTGGGGCCCACGGTGCAGACTCAGCCACATAAATCTTCCCCACCCCACTGCCCTCCCGGACAAAGTCCTGTTCCTCCCTGGCATGTGCTGAGAACCACGCGGACACACTTCTCCTTCCACTGTTTTCTGTCTTCCGCCCTGTTCTCCGCTGCTGCTGCTGCTGCTGCTTCCTCTCTGTGCTCCCTGCCGAGGCCCTGGGCTTGGCTTTAAGTGTTCTCTGAACAGAGACTGGCTGAGGGATCGCGGGGATCGTTCACGAGAGCGGCGGCGTTACCGACCGGTGCTGTGACTCATCGAACATTCGTTTTTCATGGGCTGGGAGTGGGCGTTCTTTTCTCACTTGAGTCCAGCTCATCTCGGGTCAGGGGGCAGAGAGCTGACTTTTAACCAATAACGAGAATCTGGGAGGAGCTATTATTCGTAAAAGGACAGCAGCGTTGAGGGGAGGACGACACATGAGGCAGCTGGGATGTGAGTAGGGGCTGGGGAGTGTGTGTGTGTGTGTGTGTGTGTGTGTGTGTGTGTGTGTGTGTGTGTGTGTGTGTCGGGCAGTGGGGGACAGAGACCCCCAGACTCAGCTCTCCGTGGCACCCCAGGCTGTGCCCCAGCCCAGCAGCTTCACACACATGCACGTGGTGAACAGGCTCCAGGTGGGAGGGGATTCCAGCCAAAACCTGACGGAAGGACGGACAAAGGGACGCCTTGCCGGCCGAAGACCTGAGGCAGGCGGGTGGGAAATGCGGTACAGGTGCTCTGAGCCTCCGGACGCCCAGGGGGCTTTTTGGTATTAAAACCAAGGTAGCTGAGGATCTGGGTGGCACTTCCCGGAATTCACTGAGCTGGAATTCGGTGGGGGCGTCCCTGCATTCGATGGGGCGGGGCCCCAGCCTGGTGCCCCGGACGCTCCGGCAGGTGACGGATGGAAGGCCCCTTCCAAAAGGGGGCTCACGCCACTGTCCACTCCCAGGAGGCACCCTGGGAGGGAGCCTGCCCCTTGGGTGGAATCTATTACCATAACTTTCCGAGGAGAGTGCTTGGAATTTTAAGTAAAGCCATTTTCATTCTTCAGTCTGGAGAGACTGAGGGGGTAATTTGCACTGATGCATTTTTTTAGGCTATGTACGAAGCCAACCTAATAGCTTTGGTTTTTAATTTAAAAAATATGACTGAGGGAATTATTCTGGAGGACATTACAGGGATGTAACCTTTGAGGGATTCTAACAAGATTTTAATAGTTTGCAGGCCTTCTTTAATTTTCATTTGGTTTTAATTTTCACGTGACATTTTCATTAGATGTGTCAAGAAAACAAAAATGGTTTATATTGCAGGAGCCCGTGGCCGGACGACAAAGTGCGAGGGAAGGTCTTGTATTACCTCTGGGCCCAGGCTGTGATCTTCTCCCTCCCCCACCCCCTTCAGTCTCCTCCCTTCGGAGATAGTGTGATTGATTTCATAGCAGAGGGCACTCCCAGACAGAGTTCTGACTCTGCCTTCGGTCCTGACCTTGACCCAGTGGCCTAGATGAGGCCTCTGTTTTAAGCAGACAGGAAAAAGATGATCTGTAATTGCACGCATGTTTATTGGTTGAGCACCTGCTCTGTGTTGGGGCTTGTACCCGGACGGGGCTCTGGACCCCTCCCCTATAAGTGTCTGCTACGTTGGTTGGTGATCAGGGCCGTGGAGAAAAGTACAGCTAGGAGGGAATGCCCACGTCGGCTGTAACGAAACGTTCGGTGAGCCTGTTCCTGGGGCCGAGCCTCGGTCCTCTAAGTCCTTTGTGGGCACGATTTCCTTCCATCCCCACCAGGGCCCGTTGGAGAAACACACTTGTCTCCATCATGAAGAATCTCAGGGTCTGGAGCTCAGAGAGCTTCCGAAGGCCTGGACGCAAAGCCCAGGCCGAGCGGTCCGAGCGCCAGAAGCCCCCAGGCCCCGGGCGGAGGGGCTGTCTCGGAGGCCAGCTGTGCTTCCTGGCAAACACACCTACCTGGTCGCCTAGTTCCTGCAGATGCACCGACACTTCCTGCTCTAGACTCTGCCCAGGATAGGCCATTTAGAGGCTCCTCGTTTCCCTGCAGAGGAGAGGGGAGAGGACGGGGGGACGGGCTCTTCGCAGGCCCGGCTGGGTGGAAGAGAATGCCTGCTGGCTTAGTCACACGAAGTGCAGAGGTCCTTTGCTTGTTTTTGAAGGCAGCGTGACAAAAAGGTTTCCTTTCTCTCCCTTGTTGGTTTCAGGGAGTCGGAATATGAGTGAACGGTACCTGCGTGGGTGGGGGAGGCTTGTTTCCATCGGAAGGAACCTCGCGCCCAGTGGAGGAGGCGGAGAAAGCACGCAGGTGTGGGATTACCTGCTATTTTTCAAAGCCCCTTGTTCAGGTGGTTTTGTTTGCTCTGCCCATCGCTGTCCACTGTGGACAGTCGAACGCCTGGAGCCATGAATTAGCTGAGTCCCCACTTCCAGTGTCAGGATTTTTCAGGCCGCTTAAACCGTTGTTCAGAAATGGTGTGAACCCGGCCAGACGCAAACCTTGGACTCCTTCTTACAGTGTGTGGGAGAGACCGTGTCCCGCTGTCATTCTGAACGGTCGGCTCAAGGAGGTTGAAAGAAAGAATCTGTCACACGAAGAGTTAGTTTGAGGACGGGCTCAACTTGGAAGGGGGAGAAACGGGCCGGGTGCCGAGGGTGCGCCTTCCGCTCCTGCCCACAAGGGGCGCTTCGGAGGCTTTCCCACGGCCCGGCCACTGGCCGTGGGGTCACTGAGTGCAGAACATCTCTGCGGCTTCTAAGGACACCCCACTCGGGGTCTCTTCCTACTTGGCAGAGGGCTGCTTTCCCCCTGCTCTAGGTTCTCTGGCTGGACTCACAATTAGGTAGACATCAGTCATTAACGAACGGGAAATTTAATTGCATGAGTGAGCATGGGGGCCCCAGAGACGGAGGCCAGGCAGTCGGGCAAACAAAGGCTTATGTGCCCTGGTGAGGTAAGAGGGGAGTGGGGGAATGGGGCTTCAGGGGGAGGGAGACAATTCACAAGGAGGCGGGACCAGCACAACGGATAAACAAGTGTTTTCCCCACTGTGCAGAGACGATGGGACAGGAATCCGTGTCTCCAGGCCCCTTGGGGGTCCCCATACTTGGTGCAGTTGTCTCTGGCGGTAGCTCTCATCCCGGAACAAGCCCTCTGTCTGAATTCTTGTGAGCAAGTGAGGAAGATATGAAAAGGCTCTTCCCGAGTCAATGGGGCCTCGGTGGTCTTCCCACCGACCGAACCCACGCGCCCAGTGGTGCATTGTGGGGCAGCCTGCCCTTCACTACCTCGTCACATTTCTGGTCACTCAGCGGGATCAGGAACAGTTCGATCCAAGCGAGATGCTTGACACACCGGGACAGGTGGCTCTTCTGGGTGCTGATTTGCACTTCTGTGGGTGGCGGTGTGTGTCGACCCTGGACGTGACCAGGCGTGGTGAAAACAGCCATGCTCTCGTCTGTGTGTTGATCACACGCCACGTTCCACTCTGGTCTGTTGCTGTGAGTTACACGCCCCCGCTCGCTGTCTGCGCCTGGCAGTGGGTGTTTCTCGGGCCCCATCTCCCTAGTTCGGGCAGCGCCTGGGGGCCCCCTGGCCTCACCCTCACCTTCTGTCCTGTGTCTCTTGCAGTGCCTTCCCCCAGTGCCTTGCTGGGAGACAATCCCACGCCCTTCGGAAACGCGAAGGAAGTGATCGCAATCAAGGACTACCGCCCCAGCAACTTCACCACCCTGAAGTTCTCCAAGGGCGACCACCTCTACGTGCTGGACACGTGCGGCGGGGAGTGGTGGTACGCCCACAACACCACGGAGATGGGCTACATCCCCTCCTCCCACGTGCGGCCCCTGAACTGCCGGAACTCCACCCTGAGCGACAGCGGGATGATCGACCTGCTCCCCGACAGCCCCGATGAGGTGGCCAAGGAGTTCGACGTGCTCGGGGGGTGGACGGATGACCAGAAGGGGTCAGGCAGAACCTACAGCAACAACCCTTTCTGGAACGGGGTCCAGACCAACCCGTTTCTGAACGGGCATGTGCCGGTGGGACCCGGCGTGGAGGAGCCGGCTCCCAAGAGCACCGTGGACTTGCTGCTCTTCGACGCAGGCCCGTCTGCCTTCACCAACGGCAGCTCGGCCACCACAAACGGCGCCGGCCACGGCTTCGAGGAGCTGCCGGCCACCGATCAGCTCCCTGCCGAGGGGCCCGTCAGGCGGGACAACCCGTTCTTCAGAAGCAAACGCTCCTACAGCCTGTCGGAGCTCTCTGTCCTCCAAGCCAAGTCCGACGTGCCCGCCTCATCGGGGTTTTTCTCGGGCCTGAAGTCCCCGGTCCCCGAGCAGTTCCAGAGCCGGGAGGACTTCCGCGTGGCCTGGCTGAGCCACCGGAAGCTGGCTCGGTCTTGCCACGACTTGGACCTGCTGGGCCAAAGCCCCGGGTGGGGCCAGACCCAGGCGGTAGAGACGAATATTGTGTGCAAGCTGGATAGTTCTGGGGGCTCCGTGCAGCTCCCCGACACCGGCATCAGCATCCATGTGCCCGAAGGCCACGTGGCCCCGGGGGAAACCCAGCAGATCTCCATGAAAGCGCTGCTGGACCCCCCCTTGGAACTCAACAGCGACAGGTGCTGCAGCATCAGCCCGGTGCTGGAGGTGAAGCTGAGCACCTTGGAGGTGAGAACCGTCCTGGTCCTGGAGATGACGGCGTCCGCCGAGGTGAAAAATGACATCTTCAGCAAAAGCACAGTGGGCCTCCAGTGCCTGAGAAGCGACCTGAAGGAGGGGCCCTATGTCCCCATCCCCCTCACCTACAGCTACGGGGACACGGTCCAGGTGCACCTGGACAACCTGGAGCCCTGCATGTACCTGGCCATCGTCGCCCACGGACCAAACATTCTCTACCCTTCCACCGTGTGGGACTTCATCAACAAGAAAGTCACAGTGGGGCTCTACGGCCCCAAACACGTTCACCCGTCCTTCAAGACGGTGGTGACCATTTTCGGGCACGACTGTGCCCCCAAGACCCTCCTGGTCAACGAGGTCACCCGCCAGGCCCCCAGCCCCGCCCCAGTGGCCCTGCAGCTCTGGGGCAGACACCAGTTCGTCCTGTCCCGGCCCCAGGACCTCCAGGTCTGCCTGTTCTCCAACATGACACACTACGAGGTCAAAGCCAGCGAGCAGGCCAAGGTCGTGAGGGGCTTCCAGATGAAGCTGGGCAAGGTGAGCCGCCTCATCTTCCCCATCACCTGCCAGAGCCCCGGCGAGCTCTCGGACTTCACCTTGAGGGTGCAGGTGAAGGACGACCAGCAGGCCATCCTGACCCAGTTCTGCGTCCAGACTCCCCAGCCGCCCCCCAAAAGTGCCATCAAGCCGTCCGGGCAAAGACGGTTTCTCAAGAAGAACGAGGTCGGCAAAATCATTTTGTCCCCGTTTGCCGCCACCACCAAGTACCCCACTTTCCAGGACCGCCCCGTGTCCAGCCTCAAGTTCGGCAAGCTGCTCAAGACCGTGGTCCGGCAGAGCAAGAACCACTACCTGCTGGAGTACAAGAAGGGGGACGCCATCGCCCTGCTCAGCGAGGAGAAGATCCGGCTGAAGGGGCAGCTGTGGACCAAGGAGTGGTACATCGGCTACCACCAGGGCAAGGTCGGCCTCGTGCACGCCAAGAACGTGCTGGTGGTGGGCAGGGCCCGGCCCAGCCTCCTCGCCGGGCCCGAGCTGAGCACCTCGCTGCTGCTGGAGCAGATCCTGCGGCCTTGCAAGTTCCTCACCTACATCTACGCCTCCGTCAGGACCCTGCTCATGGAGAACATCAGCAGCTGGCGGGCCTTCGCCGACGCCTTGGGCTACGAGAACCTGCCGCTCACCTTCTTCTGTCGTGCGGAGCTGGACAGCGAGCCTGAGCGGGTGGCGTCCGTCCTGGAGAAGCTGAAGGAGGACTGTAACAACGCCGAGAACAAAGACCGGAAATCCTTCCAGAAGGAGCTCATGATGGTAAGTCTGACGGGGCTGGCGCTGGGCGAGGGCAGCGTGACGCCAGCCGTCTCCTGACTCCGTCACAGTGGTGTCACAGTGGTGTCACAGTGGTGTCGGGCCTCCTGCCCGCTCCCCAAAGGGCGGGGACAGGGCTTTAATCGTGGAAAGAGGCGTTCACTTGGGACCTGGCGGAGCCCCAAACGGCTCGGGAGCCACTGCAGTGAAGATCATTCAGGGCCCTTTTCCCGCTGAATTTGGGGGCCCCCGGGGGGCCCGTGCTCCAACCGCCTCCCTTCCGACCTCTCGGGGGAAGATCGGTATGTCCTCTGTCTCCCAGCCGCCTCTGTGACTCCCAAACGTGAGGAACCACGGGCCCCAGGCAGGCTCCGTTTTACCGGGTTTTCTCTCCATGTCTCACTGGAAGGTTCCACCGGGCCCCTGTGTTGCCTCCTCTTCCTCCTTTCCTTGTGCGGTCAAGTCAGGGCGAGGACACCCTGTTCTGCCGGCACAGCCGGGAACTGGAAAAAAGGGGGAAGTTGGTGGCACACTCACTGCAGGACACACCCGGCCCGCCGGGAAGCCTTTACCGGACCGCTCACGGCTCTGGCAGGCCCAGGCTCCGCCCCGGCGCCAAGCCCACCGGCAGCCCCTCTGAGTTGCCGGATGAGCCCTGGGGTGGCCTTCCCTGGGCCTTTGCTCCGCAGCAGAGGCCGGCTCAGCTCCCGTCCCCGGGATGGTTCCCGGGGGAAGCTTGGTCACCTGCTCTTCCTCATTCCGCTGACTCCAGACAGCCCCTCTCGCCTCCTCACTTGGGTGAGAAGTGACTCAGCACCCCTGGCATTCCTGCCACTTGTACCCTCTCCTCCCTGCTGCGTCTGCCCCTCTCAAAACATGTGTGTCCAAGCGGCCTGTGTGGGCACAGGTGTGCACCCAAGGCTCATTCACATCACATCCGTCTCCACCGTCCCCTCGAGTCAGGGACGGAAGGGACAGGGTCTGCCGTGGTGTGGCTTCTGCTGCCGGGGGTGGGGCCTGAAGCAAGGCCCTGACAGTGGCCCACAAAGGTATGGGCACTAGACAGGTGGGGCACAGCAGGAAGCTGGCCTCGCCCGGATGAGGGAGCCAGGAACTGGGCACGGCAGGTGGAGGGGTGACCTTGGCCACCAGGGGGTCACCAGGGTGTGGGCAGGTTTAGTGGCGAGCACAGGGGCTTGTCCTGGCTGGGGCTGATGGGGGCGAGTGGGGCTCCCGAGCCCCGGGTGTAGTCCCCTCAGCGATGCTTCCTGTCCCTTCAGGCTTTCGACAGCGCACCAGCCCACCTGTAAAGTCAGGTCCCGCCCTCATTGCCGGTTTCCCTGGGCGGACCTCACACTGCGAGGGGCTGGGCCTCCCTCTTGCCAGCCCCGGGCTGGAATTCTCCGCCGGTGATGGAATTCCAGGCGAGCGGGAACGGGACTGATTCTGCCTCCGCACCAGCACAAAACGGCTCCCCGGGAGTGGGCAGAGGTGGGCAGTGAGCCGGCCCTGGCAGCCCCTTCCCCGCTGCGGAAAATCCGGGGAGGTGGCTTTTCCTCATTTCTTTTTAGAAGACTTAAGTGATCGCTCCTTTTTTTTCCACTGGGGGAGCCCAGGATAGCTTTTCTGGCAGGCCTCCTTAGGTTCCTCCGTGTGAGGACGAGGCTCCGTGCGTGTGGGACCCTCGCCCCTGCCGCAGCCCCGCACCCCCGGGCTCCGGAGTCCCAGGGCAGCTGAAGTGAGACTCGGGCCTTGGCAGGGAGGTGCCCGGGGGCGGTTGGACCGGTGCTGAAGTGAAACCAGCTCCGCCACGTCTCCCCTGGACTCCCTCACTATCTCCTTGTCATCTCCGAGCCGCAGAGCTGAGTGGTTGGCCAGGCTTCCAGAAACCACACACGGGCTTATCCGGGCGTGTCGGAGGCACTGCCGGGAACGGGTGCTTTATTCCCAGGGAGGCAGAAACCCCACGCACCAGGGTTCCTGCGGGGCCCCTGAGGACCTGGCTGCCCGCTCCCTGCCAGGCCACGCCCTCCCTGCCAGGCCACGCCCTCCCCGCCCTCCCCCTGCCCAGGGTTTGCTGTTCTAACGCGACCTCGGTTGGGAGATCCTGCTGAAATGGAGCAGACAGGGTGAGGGTTTCGGACAGCAGGCTTGCAGGGGAAAGGGAAGGAAGCAGGTCCGTGTGTCCACTGCGTTCGGAGTGGGTCCAGCCTCGTGTGTCCCGCCGGTGCAGGCCAGTGGGCCTGCTGCTTTGGTTTTGATTCTTGAGGCCCCAGAAATGCGGGGGCCGCACAGAGCACATCAGGCCGTGGAGCCCTGGATCGGGAGCCTGCCTGGCCCAGACCCTCTCTAGGAGGGACTCCAGCCCCAGGGCGGCCTCCTGTTTGCCAGAGCCCAGCAGGGACTTGGGCAGGGCTCCGTCCCGTCGCCTGCCTCTGGGGTGGTGGGTGTGCCTTTGCCTCCCAAGTCCCCTCGTACGTAGTTGGTCATCTCTGTCCTAAAGACACACAACCCAGAAAGTCCCTTCAGCTTGGACAAGGACTGGCCCTGCCGCATCTGGAAAATGCGAGTCCACAGCCCCACCCCTCTGCTGCCCACGGAACACACCCCCGGCCCAGGGCCCCGCCACTCAGTTGCTCTAGCGGGAGTGGGAGGGAGCAGCTGTCGTCTGCACCCTCCCTGGGGGGTCACTGTGCTGGTGCTGCCACAGCAACGCCCGCACACCGGAGGCTCCAGTCTGCCGGTGCAGGCCTGGCCGGGCGGCTGGTGGGCTGGAGCATCGTCCTAAAGCCAAAAGATTGTGGGTTCAATTCTCCGTCAGGCCCGTACGGGAGGCAGCCAATGGATGCTTCTCTCTCTGAAAGCAGTGAGAAGACGTGCTCAGGTGGGGACAGAAAACGAAAGTGCCAGTGTACTCCCTCGAGTTCGCGGAGTTGTCCTCAGGGCCGGCTCCGTCCTCGCCTCCGTCCTGGCTCCGGGGCTCCGGTGACATGGCTGCACCGTCTCTGCCCTTCTTCCCTCTGCACCCTGTGCCTCTGTTTCTCGCCTTGTAAGGCCCCAGTCATTGGATGGGGAGCCCACCCCGATCCAGGGTGACCTCGCTGAGCCCCATCACACCTGCAGAGACCTCACTTCCAACCACAGGCACGGGCGGAGGTGCTGGGGGCGTCCGCCCCACACGCCAGCGATTCTGCCATCCACTGTACACGATGGCGGCACAGGCCCTCAGAGCTGCCCCCTCACGCTCTGCTCCTCCCCAGGCCTTGCTGAAGATGGACTGCCAGGGCCTGGTGGTCAGGCTCATCCAGGACTTCGTGCTCCTGACCACAGCCGTCGAGGTGGCGCAGCGCTGGAGGGAGCTGGCGGAGAAGCTCGCCAAGGTGTCCAAGCAGCAGATGGACGCGTACGAGTCCCCCCACCGGGACCGGAACGGGGTCGTGGACAGTGAGGTGAGCCGGGCAGCGTGCCCCTCGACCTGTGAGGTACAGGCGTCCCCTTGTCTGCTTCATAGCACTTTTCTGAGGACAAAATGAGTGAGAGCATGCAAGCTCGTGCCTAGCACACAGTAGGTCCTCCCTGAGTGGGGCGGGTCTGGTCCCCCTCCGGGTGTTGAGTGGGAACTGCCAGTCACTTGTTAGCCCCCTCCTTAAACGGCCTTCCACCAGAGGGACAGCACAGGCTCCGGGGCGCCTTGCAGTCCAATCCATCCCGGTCTCTCCCCAGGTCCCCGCTGCACTGAGGAGACCTGGCAGGTTGTGGTGCCTGGGCCAGAGCTGGCTGGGTCCCCGCTCAGCCACTGTTTCTCACTTGTGTGCAGGGGCCGTGTTACGCTTCTGGAGGCCAAGGAAGCTGGAAGTTCCAAGCGTAAGGGTGTCATTTGTTAACAGGTCGAATTTCTAAATCAACAGCCCCACTAGGAAGTGCTGTGTCCCCACTCCTGCACAAAAGGCACCGTTCCCTCTGAAGTGTGCCGTGGCCCAGGACACAGACACATGGGAGCTGCGACAGGGGCAGGGACAGGGGGCAGGGTCGAATGTCTTCCTCACCTTTGTCTCTTCTCCCTCCTTTTGTTTGGACGGCGCCCCCCGCAGGCCATGTGGAAGCCTGCATATGACTTCTTACTCACCTGGAGCCACCAGATCGGGGACAGCTACCGCGACGTCATCCAGGAGCTGCACACGGGCCTGGACCGGATGAGGAACCCCGTCACCAAGCGCTGGAAGCACCTCACGGGGACACTCATCCTGGTGAACTCCCTGGACGTGCTGCGCGCGGCCGCCTTCAGTCCGGCCGACCAGGACGACTTCGTGATCTGAGCGGGGTCCCCCCACCAGCCTGCCGCTGCCGAGGGGGCCTGTGCAGTCACGTTGCTGGGAGCGGGGCGACCGCCTTCCCCACCAGAGGAGGGTGGCTCCGGGCTGGCCCCACACCCCAGGACCAAGCACACGGACACTCCACCCGCCGCCTCCACCGAGGAGGAGGCCTGAAGGGAACTCCGAGGGCAGGTGGTTGCCAATCAAATAGCTTTCTATTTGTCAAGCATACAGTTAAATTTAAAATTTCTTTTTTAAAGTTTGGGGAGGAGGGGATGTATGCGAAAGGTGGTATTAAATTTTTAATGGACCACAAAGGTAAAAAAAAACACGGAACGGGGCAGATGCTGTTGAGGTTTTTACGTTCTCTGGAAACCTTCTTAAATTATGTTACAGGTGTACATAGGTATTTAAAAGTCATCGGGGGCATTTCCTATTCCCAGACGGACTCCAGTTCCAACGTCTGGCACGGGAAGTCGCTTGTGTTCGCGTGTTGGGCTTTTTTCACTCCGTACTTGTACGAAAACAGTAAATCAACTAGGAACCGCGGTTTGTCAGTCCGTGAGTGTAGCTCAAGCCCATCCTTTCTGAGAACGTTCTGGGCCCTCTTTTATTTTTTATCTTACATGCCTTTGCCTCGTGGTGCAGTGAATGAGGGGCCACAGCGCCCGTGGGCAATTTTGTGGGCAGAGTTAGGTCCGACGTGAGGGATGGGCGCCCTTGAGCTGAGGGAGCAGCAGGGCAAGGGCGTTCCCAGGACCCCTGCTCATCCCAGCGTGTGGTCCCAGACGCAAGTGAGGTGGACCCCACAGAACTGCCCCTTCCCCCCGGGGTCCTGAAGGAACCTTGGTCGCCCAGGACGCCCTGTGCAAGGTGCCTGCTGCCGTTTGCCAAACTCTCTGCTTCATTTCATCCGGATGTAACCCCTGTCCCTTCCTGGCATTCCCACGTCTCCTTGGAAACGGATAGTTTGGGGAAGCCTTTTCATTGACAACATAAAGACCTGAGCGGGATTGACAGTGGGAATACTTCCCACGTCAAATCAGGGACCTGGTGGCAGGTCACACCGACAACCCTTACGGCTGCAGATCCGGTGGGTGTGCCGAGCTTCACGCTGCCGTCGTAGTCACGGTGTCTCAGAGGGAGATGGGAGAAACTCCGCCACTACCCAGTGAACCCACAGTCGGCCCCCGGGGATGTGCCTGGACACACCCGGATCCGGAACCTCACTCTCTGAGTCGGCGGCGTTGAATCACGTGAACTACTGGGTGTAATCGATGAAGAATCCCTTATTGGACTGAAGCACCCTTAAGCATCTATTGATTTGGATCCTGAAGATCAACTGGCTAGGAAAAATGATACAAAAAAAACCACTATGTATTTTATGCTGCAAGAAACAAGACACACAATTCCCCAGTCATCCCAAGAGATGACCTTAAATCCAGCTTTCCAACGATCCGCCTGCCTTCTTCCCAGAGACCCTCCCTCACCTTCTCCCCAAAGAAGACACAGAACCAGTTGCACCTTAAACCATGGATATTTTTCCTCAGGGGCTCACATAGTTTCCTATGCAACATGTCTTGTAGCACAAACTAAATTCTACAAAAGTTGCAGTAAACTTTATTTGGATATTTTGACCTGTTCAGTGTGCGCGTGTGTGTTTCTTTCCTCGTACCCACCAAACTTTGAATAAAACAGTGAAACCTCGTCTTAGCATCTGTGCGTGGAACAATGTGCCCCCCCCCGCGACGACAGTCAGTGTGACCAGTGGGTTGCCAGGTGTCCGTTTTGTTGGCACTAATCTAATTGCTCCTGGAACACCAGGGTCTCTGCCATCACTGGCCACTGGGAGTCAGTGGTGCCCAGAGCCCCGAAGGGTCACGTGGGCGGCTCCCGTTCTGTGCCCCCACCCCAGTCCCACCACGCAGTTTGGGGATGAGCGCTTTCTGAGTTTCCGGCGCTGTCTTTTAGGGGCTAGCTGCCACAGCACCCGTGGCTGCCGTGGCCCATTCTGTGCCCCAGGAACACGTGCTGTCAGGGAGGAAGCTGGGTGGGGGCGCCTTTGATGGGGGCCCTCCCTGCCTGGAAGCAGTGGGGAAGTGGGGTTCAGGAAAGCTTCCTTGGGAAGTCTGAAGGCTGAGTAGGAGCCAGCCGGCCCAAGGCCAGGCCAGTCCTGAGGACCAGGGCGTGTGCGGCGTTGCGAGGGTACAGAGGCTGGCCCCGCCCCCGGCACTGGGCGGCCTCTCCCACACCCCTGCCCGCTCATTCCAGCCTGCCCGGGCCCATTTACACCTAAGGAGGACAGGGTTAGTGCCGTCCTACATTACAGCTGCGGTCTGGAGCCCAGGGCTGTCCTGACACAAAAATGAGTTCTGTCACCGTCACGGAGGCGTCCTGTGGCCCTCTTCCGTCTGTGTCTGCCCCACACCTCCCTCTGTGAGGACAGCACCCGAGGCCGCGCTGCCAGGGCCTGCGGGCAAGGGGAGAAGCTGGGGTGCAGGGGTCATCCAGTGCGATCGTCTCTGAGTCTTATGCCCCACTCGTCTAGGAAGCCAGAGGGGTGCAGGGAGGCTATTCTTAAAAGGGAAGCCCCTCTAAGGAGACCTGCTGTGCTCCCCGAAACCCAGGTTCTTCCTAAGCAAATGGCCAGACCCTAATTAGTCCCTCTCAAACGGGTCCCCTCCCACGGTTATCCGAAGTCAGCCCTGTCCGAAAATACCAAATGGAAAATCCCAGAAAATAAATGATCCCTAGAGTTCGACTTGCAAGCCGTTCTGCGTGGCGTGATGAGACCTGGCCGTCCTACCCAGGAGGGGAGCGTCCCCCAGCCCCGGTGTCCAGGCTGCCGGCTGCCCGCCCATCGGCCGCCCCGCAGCCCTCGCCAGGGGAGAGCGAGCACACGCCTCTGTGTCTGTGCGCGCGCTTGGGCAGCCCATGTTCTACTTCATAAGGCCGCATTCACAGAGCTTCCTACGGTACGTCGTTCAAATTGTTCTGTTTGGTTCTGAGTCATCGTCGCTGTCTTCTGTGCCTAATATGTGAGTTCAACGTTATCACAGGTGTGGACGGAGGCTCATTTCTATCACAGCACACAGAGGAGGTGGTTTCACGCACCACCGGGGTCTGGGAACGCAGACCCAGCTTTGGACGGCTGAGGGCTGGAGGACTGCAGACTATTTGCCAACCCCCCAGGTGGGCGTGGCTACGTGACTCCGTGTAGCCAATGGGATGTGAGCAGAAATGATGCAGGGCGCCCTCTAGCGGGCTCAGAGAAGCGGCCAGGCACTGCTTCACTCTCCCGGTCACACAGAAATGTCTCCAAGGACCTGAGGACCAGGGAGAGCCAGCAGACCCCGGTCCTTGAAGGCTCTGTCCAGTGACATCTCTGTCAATTGGGACGAGACGTCACCCTCAAGGCACCGAGGGCATGAGGGCTGTGAATTACAGACTGTCACTCCAACCTCATGCACAGAGTAGTGGGGTCGTTTCAGCGGTGGAAAAGCCGGAGGGGAGAGGGTTTGCTTTTAAGAGGGAGGCGTCCCGACCCCCCCTGAAGGGCATCGGGTAAAGGCCAGGAGAACCCAGTCTGGCCCTTTTCCGGGCCTGGTAAATCCGGAACCGGTCAGGACCAGTGTGAATAGAAACGGCTCTTCTGTTTTTACTGAGTATGCTCTAGGCCGGCCCGAGGAGCTCAGTTTAAATGTCCAGTCCTTTATGGAAGTTGATTTTGATACTGATAAAAATTTGCACATAAAATTTTGGTGTTGGTAGGTGTTTTTGAGAATCAAATATGAGGGAAAAGATGTAGTTGGGAGAAAACCTGATCTCCGGAGAAAAGGGCAGTTTGGTCCCTGATGAATCCTGCCATCCGGGGAAATTGTTTCCTTCAAGATCGCCCAGCCCCCACCCCCTCCGAGCTGCGTCTGTCCCCAGGTCCTGGGGGCCATTCCCACTGCTGGGAACAGACGTAGGACCTCCTCCCCGCCACTGTCCTTTCACTTTGTCTGAACCACTCCAACACCACCCTCCTGCCACCTTCCCACTGTCTGCTGCTCCACATCCGTGGGGTGCAGGAGTGAGACCCAGAGAGCCACTTGCCTCCTACCGTGTGGTCTCCTCTGGGCTGAGCCTCCCGTCCTGCCCTGCGGAACCCCCGTGACCCCCTTGTGCTGTCAGCCTCCCTGTCTTTTTCTGAGCTGGGCCCGAGCTCGGGCACCTTTCCTTCCTTCACCAGCCCGCACACAGACACCCACCGCTGAATCCCCAGAGGCTGGTGCGATGGTGCTTCTCGCATGGAGGGACGGACCCTGCCTCTGTGCTAGAAATGCATCTCAGCCCTGACTGGTATGGCCCTGGATTGAGCACAGGCCTGCAAGCCAAAGGGTCGCAGGTTCGATTTCCAGTCAGGACCCAGGCCTGGGTTGCAGGCCAGGTCCCCAGTTTGGGGCATGTGAGAGGCAACCACACACTGATGTTTCTCTCCCTCTCTTCCCCTCTGTCTAAAAACAAATAAATAAAATCTCTATGTATAAAGAAATGCATCTCAGAGCGAGGACAGCTGTGGCTGGTGGAGGGGACAGAATAGGCTTCGTGCTGTGTTTGCAGCCAATGTATAATAAAAATAAATGAAAATCTGCCCAGCAGTGAATGCATCAAAACCAGCTTCAATTTTAAGAAGGGTTCTAGGAGGGACCCGCGGCGGGGGCGGAACGCGGGGATGTGCACACCAGAAGCAATTACATTTCCTAATGATTCATTTCCCGGCACGGGGGAAACATCGTCAGTTTGGTCCGTGATTTATGCTGTAATAAAATTTTCTTTTACACAAAGTAGATGGCAATGGTCGCATCCTAAACAGTAACAAATGACCTGAATGGGACAGGGGGAGGGAGTGACACCAAGTGCCCAGTGATCCCTCTGTCTACAGCGGGGTTGTCCCGTTTAACCTTCATAATGACCTTGGTTTTGAACGCAAGGAAACAGGCTCAGGGAGAGCAGACAGGCCCAGTGGGCACGGAGGCCTGCCCACCGGTGGTGCACAGAGCCAGCTCCGGGCAGCCCGCGGGCACCTGCGTGTCTGGTGGAGGGGGGCCGCCAGCCCTCCACACCCGCCCTCGCAGCTGGCTTCGGGGACCTGTGTGCTGCTGAAGGGGCCTCACTGCTGTTGTGTGGCCACATCGTCCTGAAACCCTTAGTGTTTAAAACCTCTGCACTTCACCAAAACATTCCTTTCTAAAACCAAATGTCGGCCTTATTGATTGCACCTTATCGAGGGGTAATCAACGTGTAAACGAAGTTTCCCTTTTCTAAGCCCTCGTCACTCCCAGCGAGGAGCCCTTATAGGCTGCTGCCCAAGGTGGGTGTGAGTGATAACACTTCTGAGCCGTCGTGAACCATGGGACAACAGTCAAGACGGCACAGTTTGCTGGGTATGTTTCGTCACAGTTTCTCTTAATGTGAACAAATACATGGTCTGGGTTCACGGCCCTCTGCTGCGTGACCGTCCGTGTTCAAGAGGGAGAAGGACATGCACGACTCCACGCTCCTCCTGCCCTGGACCCATTCTCAGTGTGACGAAGCCCTCAGGCGCCTCGGGATGACTGAAATGCATAAAATAAACCGAGGTCGCAAATGGAAGCAACTCTATTCACGCACGGTCCCCAGAAGATTGTTTTAATGGCGTGTGCTTTCTGTGCATTACGTCACAGTCTGGGAACAGATGGCGCGTCCCGTGCGAGCTGAGCGTCGGGCCGAGTGTGGCGCGGAGGCAAGCCAGCATGGAAACAGGTGCCTGAGGTTTGGCGATTGTCCGAGCCACAGGTTTCTGTGACTGCGGCATTCCTTGTCCACAGGCGGGAGTGAAGGAAAGGCTGGTGTTCGGGCAGAGTGCAATGAAAACGATGTGATTCACCCCATTTTCTTTAAAAAGCTCCTGCTAAGGAAACTGAGTCACCCAGCTTTCTCGTCCCCCTTGTTTTGAAAAGCTCGTGTTACTCCCTTTTGTGCGCCACTAAGGAGCAACCAGACCCAGGAGCCATCTCCTGAAACTCGGGGGCACTGGAGCGTTCTCATCAGCCCACCAGAAAGAGTCTGAGAAATGGGGAGCCCAAGCCTGCGGGGTGACGGGCTTCCAGTGCGGGATGGTTGAGTGTTCCAAGAGGAGACACTGCGGTTGGGAGTGGGGGGAGGTGGAACCCTAAGATCCTGAGAGGATGGGAGGGTTTGCTGATGGCCAGACACACCTGAGCATGTGTGCCCGGCCCTGCTCTAGGCCCCGGGGTGTGACCCCGTCCCCGTAGAGCCCACACGTGGGGACACTGGTGATCAACTGGATCAGTTTTCGGTGCAAGGTCAGGTGGAGGTGAGGGCTAAGGAGGAGCACGCCAGTCCCGGAAGCTCCAAGTTAATGAGCGCGGTTCCTGCAATCTGCCCACCCTAGTTTATCCTTTAACAAATCCCTTCTCAGAAGATTTATGCGCTGTCACCTCTGCTGCTTGCAGATCAGCACCTGGACTTGTAACTATTTTATTCCTTTGGGATTCTGCCCTGGTAACCAGCTGCCTCTGGGGCATCTTGTGTCTGTCCCACCCGGGCAGCCCTGGGCCCTCACCATGCTCGTGACCCAAGTCTCTGTAGG